TGATGTGCACTGCTCTGACATTCAGCAGCTGCGCAATCCAGCCTCGTACGACGTTCGTTACGCCGTGGTGGCGTAGAGCCATTTCTATTGAATCGAAGGTTGTTTTGTCAAAAGCCCCTTTTATATCTATGAATACTCCCAGTGCGGACTCTTTATGGTACAGCGATCTCTCAATCTGCCCTACAACGCAAGCAAAGCGGAAACCGTGTTAGCGCCGTATCCCTTATGTATCTAATATCTATCGCACAGTCTTTCAAGTGTCTTAAGAAGAAAAGACATCAAGCTGATAGGACGATATGCTTTAGGTGTTAATTACTCATTTTTGCAGGTTTGGGGATAAAAATTGTTTTTATCCTGTGGCTACGTGTGAGGGCCCTTCACACCACTGTCGACATTCACAAACAAAAACAAGTTAAAAAGTCATTCTGCAAACATAAATGACGAGAGCGTATTTTCCTCCTAATAATATATTAATGCTAGGACCGGAATATCGTCGAAGTCTATACAGTTTAATGAAAAATAGTGGAACGTATACAAATAACACAAACAAATTTGGAAATGGACATTATATTTTTACTTTTATTCGAAGTGTCTACATATGAAACTTTTTAAATGCTTTCGTAAATAGCATTGCGCATTGTCTACATTAGAAATTTCATTGAATCCCTTCATAAATAAAACATACAGCATGCGTAATTTTGAAACCGGTATTTAGTTTTAGTTTCATTCAAAATGCCTGCGTATGATATTTCATTTAACTGCTTTCATAAATAAGAAAGTTGCCATTGCGCATGCGCAAAACTAATTTTAAACCTGCTGTTAGATCTGCTTGTATTCCAAGTGCATATGTATCAAATTTCATTTAAATGCTTCCATAAATAAAAAAGTTGGCATTGCACATGCGCAAATCCAAATTTTGCAACTGGGGTTAGATTTGTCTATCCCAAGTGCCTATGTATAAAATTTCATTTAAATGCTTTCATAAAGAAGAAAGTTGGCATTGCGCATGCGCAAAACGACATTTTGTAAACGTCATTAATTTTACTTATATTCGTAGTGTTTAGATACAAAGTTTCATTTAAATATCTTCATAAATAAAAGGTTAGCATTGTACATGCGTTAAACCGAGTTGTTGACACTGCGCATGCGCAAAACCAAAAAATATGCACGGAATCCTTGGACCAAGCCCTTTCAAATGAACCCCATATCGCCCCAATCGGTTCAGTGGTATAGAAGGAGTACGTGTGACGGACAGATGGACGGACGACAAAGTGCAGCCAATAGCGATTTTTCACTTTGAGGAAAATACGCTAAAAACCTTTTTTAATGCATCTCTCGATAACTGTCTGTAGACATTCTCGGAACATTTACAGGAGACATATTACACAGATTCGCTATATTAAAGTACTTGTTCTTGTTCGGTTTCGATCTTTCCAAAGAGACTTTGTCCGTCCGTCTTACTCGAGAACGAAAAGAGACAGCGATGTCAAACCCTCGCCAATCCATTTCTACGAGTTTAAGGATCAGTGGCTATTGAATATAAGCCAAATTAAAAGTCTTCTTTCCTAATGCTAGCTGAATGTGAAAAAATTCCCCTACCGAAAATCGTATGCGATTTTCTGTATCATGTTTTATAAGTAGACCCACAAAGCGTCGTTGGAGCCAATTTCTAGTGTATCTTAAATTAATAAATAAATAATTAGGGAAGGAAGGAAGTGGCCCACCACGATCCCTGCCGTCTTGGTCAAACAATTCACTTTCGGAATAGGCCAACATAAGTTGGTTTGGCGCTTGGCAAGGATGCACGTAGTGCGAGTAATGGCGTATAGGGAACAGTATAGTAAGGTGTATTTATTATTAATCATTTCTTTAAAAGTACCTATATGTCGTAAAACGTGGAAGATGTTACCATGAGCGGTGGCCGTATAGTTATAGAGATGTGCACTTTCAACCTTGTGCCTTATTTCAGTTATAGGGCCCATTCAATTTGCAATTATAATTTATAATGCATTCTGTATAATTAGAAATCTGATTGATTTCGAATTAATTGATTACCATGTCGTTTAACGAATCTAAGTGTGAAATTAACCTTCTGTAGTAAAGGCAGTATCAGCGTACGCATCACATCCTAATTCCTACGTTGAAATGTTGAAGAGCATTGCATGGACGAAGTATTCATTCAATTACTCTGCCTACCATCCGCCTGCTCGTCTTGCAGACATCAACGGATACGTAGGTGTATGTAGGGTTGTCTATAGGATGGAAACTTTGAATTTGTCCATACCATTGAGGAACAACGTCCATACCTCGCTCCATACGTTTCTGAGTTTCTGTACCGCCTTCGTTTGTGTATTCTAAACTAAATGCAAAAATGCTCTGGGTGGATATCTATTTAGTTGGTTGTCGAGGAACAGTAAAACGAACTACATTTTATTCGAACTGTTTTTTTTATTATGGGCTATAACCAGTTTCCTGTATAGAATTGAATAATTTGTATAGCTATGCCGGCTTTTATTAAATAATTGATAGGAAATCGAGAAAATGTGAAAGTAACATTCAGAGTTCGACTAAATTCTGATAGATATGTTTGTAAATATTTATGTCACAGAATTCGTTTAACCCAAAAATCAAATACCTATTAGAGACGACATTTGTGTAAATAATAGTACCAACTGCGATTGTATGTAAGAACTCGATACAAAAACTTATTAATTATTTGGTCTGCACAAAATTAATATTACAAGTGTAATAATCAATATATTTGAAACAACATATGTAATCATATCCAGTGAAGTGAATAGTAGTGTCAATTATGTACATAATTATTGATGTATATACATATTTAAATTTACTAAAATATTGTATACATCCCTTACTTATATCTACAAGAATGAAAATTAATTTGTACAGTAAAAAAATGAAGTATGGTAATAGTCTACTGAGCTGAAAGCGTTGCAAACACGTCTACCACCCACGCAAGATGCATACAAAATTTATTCAATTGAATTATTTCTACAAAGATGAAATTTTTGTTTCAAAAAGTTGATGTCTATCGATCTCGTGATGTTGCTAAGGTCTCGGTAGACACGCTGGAAGGTATGATTTCCTCCTGCATCGTTCTGCTAAAGGTACCTCTAAATTATTATATACACGGGCATAAAATAAACGTCTTTCTGATATACCGAGTGAATATTTCAAAAACGAACATAGGTACTTAGTTAACATGGGAAAAAGGTTTTTTGCAGATCCTTGCTCCCCATGATCTTAGCGGGTTTATAATGACATCAATCGAAAGAAGATTTTTTTTCTCGGCTAATGGTGAATTAGTTCATTTTCAGTTGTATTTCTCATTATTAACGAACCTCGAGATCGTTCGTTTATAATTTTGTATTGCTGTCTGTCTGTCCGTCTCTCTGTCCGTGTGCACGATAATAGAAACGTCCGATCGCTTTGAAAATTGAAACACATGTTCTTCAGGATATAAGAAACGTCGCTATTGTTTTTCGGCTACGTAGACTAACAGCCCAAAACTGCTCAAACCTCCAAAAAAGGGCTTCTTTTATAAATTCTTGTTACAAAGAACATATGAATGTCCGGTTTCCGGTTAGATGAATAAACAAAATTGCACATGCGCAACCAAACTTTTGTATTTGCGCAATCCCATTTTTTTTTATTTGTTAAGATATTTAAATGAAATTTAATATGTAGGCACCTCGAGTAAAAGTAAAACTAACGCCGAATCAAAAAATTTGTTTTGCGCATGCACAATCTTGTTTTTTTTTGTTTGTTAAGATATTGAAGCGAAGTTTTGTATCTAGGCACCTCGAATAATAGTTATTTATTATACAAGACGATAAAGGGATATTTTATCCATTGTGTGAATTAACTTTCACGAGATGGTTAGTTTCTCTTTGTCGTCGTCGTCGTGTATAATACAAAAGTTTATTTTATAGCAGAAGCCATATAAACCATTGTAAAGCTTCTGAGAATTCTGAATTTAATTTAGAGACGTGAAAAATAGCAAGCTTAGGTTCTGCCGTCGCGATCGTTTCCATAGAAACGCAATTGTCATATATTCTGAACGTGATTTCAATCGTGCATTTGAAATAAGAATGACAGATGTCATTAGAATTCACAGTCAAATGTTTCACTTTATCTACCCTTACGGTTAAAGTGATCGCTTTATCTATCCTTACGCTTAAAGAACGGCTTAGCCTACTCATTCAAACCTATTAAATAGTTATTTATGCAATGAGTGTATAAATGAGGCGTTTTATTGGTGAGTGAGATGTTTAGTCCACGAGCGCAGCGAGTGGACTAAATTCGAACAAACCAATAATCGCCGATTGATACATGAATTGCATACAACGTTTTTTCGTCGACTTCACTGGGGTAGGTAATTTTAAAATCAACTACAAGAAATTACAAACGAAATTATGAGCTCCGACGATTTTTCACTAAATTACAGCCATTGAACTATATACTCTGTAACTGGAACGGCATCGAGCGCCAAAATCGCGTGCCGCAATGATTTTAGGCAACCAGCATAACGTAGGTATTCTCATCCTTGTCTGGCACGTTGTTTTGTATTGCATATGTAGGACCGATCACACGTATTTGGTTAAAAATTCAGATAAGTAAATAAACTGGGAGGTCGGGGCCTTAGAAAGATAAAGATAAATGCTTGTCGATGCTTTTGTAAGTGCCAATATCTCTTTGTTAATGGAATATCTTAAAATATATACTTAATAATGTGGTAAACTGCGCCATTTCTCACTCACACACTCACATACTTGATTCTTGAAGTTACAAAAGTATAATGTCAACTAATGTCATTCATGGTGGCTCGACGCATTCCATTTGCTTATTAACGTAAAATAAAGTTATAAACATTGGTTGTGTTCGTTTGTAACGTACCCTTTACATAATATACTTATTAGCAAGGAGGTACCCAATATATTACAATTGGCGTCTAGATAAAGGTAAATTTAAAAAAGCACTTTTTTTTAGAATAAAATGAGTTTAAGAATCATGGTTACTCTAAGAGCAAAAATTCAATTTACTCGTGGTGGTCACCGCATTGCCATTAGAAGGAAACGAATTGATACGAATGTCTTATGCTGGTCTTATGGAACGTTTGTTTCTCGTACACGACTGGAATTTGTCCAACAGCCCGATGGATCCTTTGTTTTCGGAACTACCTTGACACATCCAACGTAACTACCAAATACACCAGTTGTAAGTGTTGGTGGTGCCATCGGCAGTATCGAAGAATTCAGGATAAATACCCATTGGAATATCCACAGTGAGCGGCTTGAGTAATGCATAAGTGCACATTTCGTTGTTGAGCAGCGAAAGGTTTCTGGTGCATCTAACTACGGTAATGGGACCAGAGGGTTTATAAGGCATTGCGCTACTTATATAACCCAGTTTTGTCCCAAGATGAAACGTACGCCGAGTTATGTGAGGTCAGAATTACACCTTCTACAAAAGGTCTCCCATATTTTTCGGAACTTTCCCCAGAAAAACTCAAGACCTGCAAATCCTTCGGAATATTTCGTAGGGAAATAAAAAAGTTTGTAACTATGTGGATGGATATGGATGAAGAAAATGCAAACCGTGATACTTTCTACTCTAACTTTTGTGGTACCTATACCTGTGTGATATGTGTATGCTTTTATATTTTATCTTTACACTTTGACGCCTCCTAATGTACGTTCATTGTGGGCCGAAGGAATCGGTAATAAATAAAAAAATCAATCCTTAAAGTATTTTTCGCCCCATTAGTGAGCAGCCTCAATAATAACGTTGAGTGAAAAATTAAATAATAAGGAACTTCATATTCAAATTAGTAAGTCAAAACGGCTTTATAGGTTTTGGCGGCGTTAACGCTATTCTTCATATGATGCTCTCTAGCTAGTGGGATCCCCTATTGAATTAGTATTAAAGAGTGCGAAAGAAGAATCATCATTCATAAGGACAGTATAAATGAGTGTGAGTGTACATTAGTAAAGAAATCTGAGCGGTGCAAATGCCGTCATGCGCAAAAATATTAAATGCGCCCGACGAGGTTGAAAAATGTTATCAAAACGTACCCATGAAATTGAATATTTGAATTTTTATTATAAAAATAATTGCACGTATATGCAACACAATTCATGACCATTCTTGCAAATCTCTTAATAACTTAATTTAGACAAAAATAAGGAAAATGTAAGACGTAGTGTAAACCATCCCATAAGCCCACATGAGTTAAACAAGGTAAGGGATAACTACCTCCACCCATCTCTCTCTCACAAAAATTCGCCACGGCCCCTGGCAATGGTTGATTTATGGGCGATGCCGTTCCAGAATTACAGAGTATTTAGTTCAATGATTACAGCTATTGTCGTTGCTATAGTAATGTGTTGTTTTATGCTGTACCGTCAGTCCTCGTAATCGCAGTGGAAGATTATGTTGCTTGCTGGAGACGATTTTAACATTATATCCACTCAAATCAAAAGAAACTTATTGGAACGGTTTCGATCAGTTCGGCAATTGATGGAATACAATGAATTTGAAAAGAGATATTTCCGAAAATGTCACGTTGACATTTTACCTTGAAAAGGTACGTGAAATTAGAATGTAATTAATTCTTTTGCAACTGTACTAAAGTACGTGTATTAACAGTGAAAGATATGGAAATGTTCATCCCTGTGGTCGACGTACTCAATGTTGAAGGTAAAGTAACTGAATACCTAAACAATCGTTTGGCGACCATACTGGCTGCTGATCTCACTACATTAAAACCGAGATTAAAATGGTTAGGTGGATGGAAGTTCTCAGCTGTTGCCGAAAGTGAATTGTTATATAATTGTCATTTCCCTTTAATAAAATGGTTGTTATGTATAAGTGGTTGCTAACGATTAATGGTTGCTAACGTATAATGGTTGGTTGCTAACCATTAATGGTTGCTAACGATTAATAAGCTTCATCATTGTACTCGTCACTAAGGAGTAATTTATATTGTTATCGAGAGGTCGACGAAAAATGTCAATTTAACGTATGGTATATAATAAAAGTAAAACTTGCAGTTTCAAACAATTTGTTTTATAAGCTATTCTGATCTGGTGGGACAGAATCAACCCCTTACGGTGTGTTGTAAAAATGATGGATGCGTGATCTCGAGGTTCGTTCGGTATTCAGTTGTATCGGATTTGTTTATCAAAAATTCGTTATTCGTTATTCAATTCGAAATGAATATCATGATTATGACAATTGTCAATAATTTTTTTGGTAAAATTTACCTATTCACTGAGGAAAAAGTATTTATAATAAACGACGTTTACAGCGGAAATAGTTACTGTACGTGACATTTGTTTTCCATGCATTTTAATGAGCGTCCCATTCCGTCTGTGTCAATTCTTTAGAAAATTTTGGTAATTGGAGTTATTGCCGAACTTTTGATAAAGTAATGAGAAATACAACTGAAAATGAACTGATGAGAAAAAAATCTTCATTATAAACCCTCTAAGTTAACATGGGGAGCAACGATCTGCAAAGAGACTTTTTCCCATGTTAATTGCCTATGTTATACTTTGTGTAGGTATATAATAATTTAGGGGTACTTTTAGCAGATCGGTGCAGCGACATGCGCTTAGGAAATCGTACCTTATAGCCTGTCTACCGAGACCTTAGCAACATCACGCGATCGGTAGATCAATTTTTTTGGTATCTTATGACACCAACTTTTTCCAACAAGAATTTCATCTTTGTAGAAATACGTTTAATTGAATAATTGTTTATGCATCTTGCGTGGGTGGTAGACTTGTGATAGCAACGCTTCCAGCTCGGTAGACTATTACCATAGGTACTTCATTTTTAGATATACTTAATTACTGTACAAACTTTCATTCTTGTGGATATGTTACGGCTAAAGTGTTTACTTGGCTAGTTTATAGACTATATCCAAATGTATGGTTATTTTAATGGGAAATCATCGGTTCACTAAAATAGCTAGATACGAATATTGGTTAGTTTGTATACTATCCAGTTAGTCTATAAAGTGTACAAGATTTATCGCAAAAGTACAAACCACAAGAAAATTATGTAAATTAACCAGACTATTTGGCTAGTTCACAAAATATCCATAGTTGCATAAAGTGCCAACTCAATATTCATAGTAATAATACATAATAACCTGCAATTCGTTGGTTAGTATGTAAACTAACCAATCCTCTTTGGTTAATTTAGTTCAGGATAGTAAAATAATTCTTAATTGAAAATAGATTTTCTCGTAGATTTTACTATTTCTGTTACTTTTTTTTACTTATTTTTAAGTACCTAGTAATAGAAATTACTTTGTACCTATAAATAAACCTATTTTTAATCAAGAATTATTTTACTATCCTGTACTCACTTAACCAAAAACGATTGGTTAGTTTAAAACTAACCAACGAATTGGCTACTTTACAACTAACCAACGAATTTGTTATTATGGATTACTTTACTAGGGATTTGAGTTCACACCACTGTGAGTTTGTGAACCAGCTAAAAATTCTGGTTAATTTATATAATTTTCTGGTGGTTTGTACTTTGGTGATAAACTACCTGGATAGTATACAAACCAACCAATATTCGTAGCTCTTTTAGCGAAAGCGAAACTACGATTTCCCATCAAAATAACCACACGTTTGGATAGTTTACATACTATCCAGCTAGTCTATAAACTAACCAAGTTAACACTTTATCCGTAACAGATGCATGTACATTGTACATATTATTCATTGTTGCAAATTTAGGCCGACATGGTAGACTACCGTTTTGTTTACTTGTACTATCAAAACAATAAAAATGGCGGAATATCAGCTTTATAGAAATGAGTGCATAAAAAATATCGCTGCCTCCTGGACTGTAAGTAGTTAGTTCAGGAAGTAACCCACCGTTCATTTGAAGTTATTTACTTACAATCAGGTAAATATGTGGCAAGCATTGCGTAATAAATGTATTACAGTCAATCTTTTAGCTCATTACAGCTTTTGACTTGCTTTGTAAAACTTGTTTTATGATCGCTTGTATTACGTATTACCTAGCACGAACAACCTTGATCAATCATGGTATTCATATCCACATATAGACTGGTCATCGGCATTTGATGGTCAGATTCTTCATTCTCACTTGTGCAATGTCGTCGTCAGTTTCATCCGCGTGTTGAAATGAACACATTGTGATTTCTGTGATGAAACGTGAACGTGCGCTATGATTTTTCCTGATTTGTGTTTTAAAAAAATCAAGAAACCAGTATTCGGAAAACGGAAGACTTACAGGTTTTCACGTACGTAATTTAATATTACAATAAATGGTTCGTATTGTAGCAATATTTAGACAATTATTATTCTGGTGCCTCAATGTCAGGTGTTTTCGTTTGTTAAGTAGTATTGCCTTATCGTTATCATACTTTTACGTATAATGTAAACGTTTTACTTTCGCTAAGTCACACCATATTAAAACTCCCTAATTTGATATATGTTTTAGTCATAATAAATTGTCATCATTATCCGTAATCATCGAACGAATATTTAATTGGTAATTCCGTGATTCTAGTTCGTTTGCTAATAAAATAAGTTGAATTTTTAATCGATTTAGTTCAATGAACCGAAGAATGTGTAATTGAATAGTTGTAATTCTATGCAATATCTAATACTTCCTTTAATTCATATCGGTCATGCAGCTATAAATTACTGAGCATGGCGCACGCAATTTTGTCAGTGGAAAAAATGTAAAAATAACCTCCTTTAAAAAAAACAAAGAAACATGCCGGAATCACTTTTGGAATTAAACTTAATTATAAACTAAATTATTAAACTGATTTGCTGTTTAACATTAAAATTAGTTTATATTTAAACCACCACCATTTATCATGAATAACACGGAAGTTTTTCCACTTAAAATTTTGAATTAAAACCAACGGATGCAGAATTAGATACTTTGGAACCTACTTAGTTAATGGAAAACATTACTACTTTCCAATGAAAAATAATAAAACCAGTTCAAGTTATTTCTAACCTCATCTTGTTGTTGTTATAGGATAAGAGCACTCATAATCTTAGCTAAGCTCATAATCACTAATAAAAATGTAGCGTCATAGATATCTCCACAGTTATTCGTTATGTGAGGGTTGTTACCAGGTTACCTACTGCATTTTGCGGCGAAGGTTCTCGAGATATTCGATTTGATGCGCTCCCGAAAACTCGCCCCGGTAAATTTGCCTCCGAAATTTTCGGCACGAAGAAAATTTGATATTATTTAGTTTGGGTCTTTATTTTTGAATTCACTCCTGGAGTAATTGCTCCCTAAGGAATCGCCCTCGAACGTTTTACCGGAAGGATCTTCACTCCCATGCACTAAACCTCGAACTAAACCATATTGTCTTACACTTCCAAAAATTAACATCACTACTATCGATGTCCCAAGCCATTTCTCGTTATTATGCAGCATTCCTCAAGTATCCATACCTCTAACCAAGAATAGGGGTGAAAATCAAATTTTATTAGCACATTTTTAAGAAGTACATATGTATAAAGATTTGTAGATGGGCCTAAAAAATTGTTTGTGCTCAATCTCTCGAGGGCAAACCTCTCGGGGGCGAATTTAATGAGTGCGAATATTCTGAAGGTGTAATGTTTCGGAGAAGCATTTTCCGCGGACGAATGTCACTGTGGGCATTTTTTCTTGGAGGCGAAAAATCTCCACAGTGTTTTGATATTTCAGGGTAAACATTTAGGTAAGACAATTCCTAGAAAATCTAACAAAGCGTGTCCGGAAGTTAAAATGCTATTTAAGTGAAAGTGTAAGTAATTTAATTGCACACAAATGCTCTTACAATATCCAGCTATCTGTAATTCTGTAGAGAGAGGTGTTGCGGAATAGGATGCTTGATTAATACTGTAAAACGTTTGTCCACATTCTTCCTTATAATTACGTATTGTAAGATTTAAGGCATTCTTAACTATTTGAAGGTTAATCAAAATTGTTTATGCAATAACCCCAACTTTCCTTAAGAGATTTTTTCCTCATCCATCATCAACTTTCTAAAATTATTAAACCACATTCTTACCACACTAAATTCAGTAACAAAACAATTAAGTTAATTTAATTTGAAAACAAGGTGTTGTATGTAGGCTATGCTATGACTATACAAACATGATTCCGCGCAACACGCAAGGTCATTAGTCCTGAAATACGAATTCTGGCGATTATCTTTTTTCTTTTATAAATTATGCATACTGCATACATAACTCGGCCATTTAAAAATCGACAAAAGAATTTTTTAAGCACACCATGGCCCCATTTGATTCACTAATAGTAGGTATAAGAATCATCAATTAAAATTTCGTCGATAAATAGTTTTTGTCTTTCAAAAATCCTCTCTTTTCACGTACTTTGTGAAATAAGTGCTGAGATCGAAATGCTAGAACTACAGTTCAATTTACAAATTGTAATGCCAATTTCGAGTCAATTTAATAACTATAAGCAGTTTACCAATCAAAATCATTTTTGATTTTGCGCATTTTACAATTGTTTTGAAAATATGTATTAACATTATAGCAAAGCTCGATTTTTTGTGTTTAATTCTTTCAGCCATTACATTAAATAAGTAAAACAAAATTTAAAAAGCTAGATTAAAGACCATTTTAGAGCTAAAACCTCATGCATTTCAAAATTAACTAATCGTGATTTTGAGTTTTGTTGAGGTTTTCAGGTTGGTAAATTTCTGAATTTTCGTAGTTATTGTGCATTAAATTTTTGCGTGTTGTTAGATTCACATCAATAGGGCAGGCGGCAAATTCAAAATTTCAAAATCACTTGAGGCACATGAGCTTTTTTGAGTTTTGTAATGCAACGAATTATCAATTTGTGAGTTCGGATTCACACATGGGTGGACACTATAGTCAGGAAAATGTCACATTGCTGGCGAGGAAATATTGAAGTACGGGGCCCCGAGTACTTTTATTTCCGAGTCAAGTAATGTAATTTTATTGACGAGATTTGTATAAAATTTTACCCGAAATAGGTAGTATTTTAATATAAAATTTCAATTTTCATATCGATCATTTGATTAATGTCAATCTGTCAGTGATGACAGGAGACAGGAGGCTGGAAGCATTTAGCAATTTTGACAGGTGCGGCCGGTAAAGTGACAGGCGACAGGAAAAGCAGTCTGGTCCGTCTTTGTCATGAAACTAAATTTTCCTGACATAAAGTAGGCATGAAAATGAAGGTTTCAGGGCGATTGATTTTGGGTAATAGTTATTTACATAATAAGTCATGAAAGTGGTCGTTTACATGACGCGGAGGCTTATTGAAAAGTACGAGAACGCGCAGCGTCCGAGTATCTCTTTAATGCCTGCAAGTCAGGTGGGCTCACTTTCATGACGTATTATGTATAAAATATTACCTGAAACCGCAACATGTAGATAACTTTTCCAAATTAAATTATTCCTATGTGGAAATTTTGATACCTAATCACGCATGCTAAAATCACTTTGGGTACTTGACGCTAATAAGCCCCCCAGGTATGATCATGAAACTGATAGAAATGGATAGAGGACACCTTAGTAACACGTTTAGAATAAAAAAAATTTGCGGAAGAGGGCCCAAATTTTCCGCAATCTTAATTAAAAGTTTACCTCATTTTCTGGAAATCTGGTGTTATTTTACGTATATTTTGTCATTCTTAATGTATGAATCGCCACCTAGCATCCACCTCCTAATACTGTCGAGACGGGAAGGAACATCTCTCGCATTTTCCATGGATCTTGGATCTTGAATCGTGGAAAAATAACATAACCTCTTAAGAAACTAACTACAGTTGGCACCACAGAATACGGCCTTCTCAGAATAGAAACAGCAATGTTACAAATTTGTATCATAGATATATAAATACATCTATATCTAGTGACTATAAATACAGGTATTTTGGCGGACCCTGGTAGGTGTGCTGTGAACTAAAGCATCAAAATCAGAGTAGCGCCATCTGGTGACCCGCTTCTAAAGCCATGAAGTAATTTCCCCAATTCGATCTAAATCACAAATATCGATAAAGAATACGCAGTTGTTAAATTGCAAGTGTATTTAGATACAATCACATTACATTATTTAACACAGACATCTTAAATTACATGTTTACAAATTACATATAAAACTCAGAAGTAAGTGCAACTTACGCTTTGTAGAAGTTAACACTTTGCAAAAAGATCCTTACGTACCGATTTGTCCTCCCCAATATTTGGTTTTAATTGCTGTTGTTTTTTGTTAAAAATATCTTTAGAACTAAATTTTTTGTTCCAAGAGGTAATAAAACCGTTTCAGCAAATTGTCACACAAGTTTTTGACAACAAATTTTAACTTGATCCTGGTGCTTACTGGTTACTTGAGAAGCGAGGGTGGAAGTTGTTGAATTATCTAAAACAAATTACAATATAAGAATCTACGTCTATATAAATATAAAACTCAAGTCTACACCCTTTTGCCTATAGGTACAGTTGGTAATAATTCTGCATCAATTTGTACCTGTTACTTACCTTGCATAAATAGGAAAGAAATAACAGCACATTTCAATCCTCTTCGCGTTTCAAGCACAAAACAATCTGTTTCAAAATGTGGGAAACGATGCCTTTTTGATATTTTATTGTTACAATCCGCCACACAACACTTTTTACGGTCACATAACTTGTTCATATTTTAAATCTTTCAAAAGTCAAAATTGACATGTGTAAAACTATGTGTACGTATAAAATCGACGGTCAAAATATTTCCTGTAACGAGCAAAATTACAGGTTTTGCAAAAAAATATCTGAGTCTGCGATAAATAGTTCTCCGTACAACCACGGGAAACGCTGTAATCAGTGACAATTTAGTGCCATTTATGTTTCTGTTCTGTGAAGGTCTTATTCTGTGGTTGGCACTCAGGAATGTTAAGATCACCACTACCAACGGAAAAACAATCATGAAATTTGGAGTAATATAACCTCACTTTCGACGAAATGAATTGAACTAAAAATTAAGATTGTGGAAAATTTAGGGCCTCTTCCGCAGATTTTTTTATTGAAGACGCTTCGTTAAGGTACCCTCTATCCATTTATATCAATTTCATGATCGTACCTGGGGGGCTTATTAGCGTCACGTAACCACGTAACTTAAAAATATCCACGTAGTCTGCATTATAATTATCCAATCGTTGATTAAATAACTTAAACCTCTCGCCAGGAAAGATTGCCGGTCACAGAACACTTGATCCCAATCTACAATCTATGTTTTTCTAAAGATGTGAGCGACTTCCGGGATAGTATCGTGTCAATGTTAAACGAAAAGACTTTTTGTTCAACATTGGCACGATCCTATTCCGGAAGTCGCTCGCGTCTTAAGAAAAACATAGATTGTAGATCGACACAAGGTGTGCTGTAGCCGGCAATCTTTCCTGGCGAGAGTAATATTCAATGAATGATCTAATTGTTATTTTGCATGTACTAGGACTGTAATGGGAGTCAGGCAAAAATATTACAGTACTAGTCAGGTAAAGATCAACTTTCTTATGTCAAAATAGCTCTGAAACTTAGATTTTCTTGACGGTTTCAGGTAAAATTAATTTATCATACTGTGTATATTAAATCAAATTAATTTTCAATGTTTACTAATTACCATTGTTATCACTCATTTAGTATATAATTTGAAGCGGAACTGGCGCTTCGTATTTATTCGGTACAGTCTTACAGTATGCTGCTGAATTGATTGTGTCACCACAAGCGAAAAATCGACACTCCCTTTGTGCCCCAAACCAGTGACGGTGGTCTAAAACATTCTCTCCGTATCGCTCAAGAAAACTCATTGCACTGACCAAACGGGTGTTGTACTCCTCACCATAGATATTATTTACTCTATGTCCTCACTCACATTTTCGGTATCCAGAAATTTAAATGTTCGGTTATATGTCAGTGGCAACCATGTGGCAACACTTCTAATATTTTCCCCATAAATTTCACCGATTAGGTGGTGCATTTCGGCTGATTTCAATCGAATAGTTCTGTAATGGATTATTGGATTCTGTGGCTTTTGGACAGTAGGTACACGATGCGCATGCACTAAATCAACTAAATGGCAACCACAGCACTGTGGCGGCGTAACTTAAAAACGGAAATTGCCATCGAGAGTAATACGATTATAGAACGTAAAATAAATATATCCAACACAACGATATAATAGGTTATGCAAAATTATTATGCTACTTGCTTAGGATTAACATTTTGTACACAAACTTTAATAGTAGGTGCACCAACATATACTTCTTGCAGATATCTTCCAAGGTATCAATGAGAATTTGTGATTACCCTCTTCCAACACTTTGTTTTCGAGGTAATCGGATTAGAAGCTTTGACCCTCCGGCCGATACCTCTTTTTAAGACCTTCAATTTTTTTTGAGGTATTCGTATTTGAAGTTTGCACCTAATCGAGAAATATGTTTCGTTGAGACCTTCTAGTTTCCCTTTAAGAGTACGCTCTTCCTAACTACGCATGATACCATAATCTATACTCATAGTATCATGACATGAATTGAAGTGATTTTTATTAAAAGGCGAGCAATTCCGCACTTCATTTCAAGAAACTTGTCGCTGATATACCTACTGTGCAAACATTCACTCAAGAACTTATCTTAATTAATATAAGTTCGTGCATTCACTTCATGGTCATATTTTTTTGACCTATAGGCTATAGTTGCCTATTTAAGGTCGTGTCCTAGTTGTTAAACGGATTGTTGAATCATTAGCGATGTACGGTGACACGCATACAGTTTGAGAGTCATCTTAATGTCATGAAACAAAATTTTTCAAAATTACTAAAATATGCTAGATGTCTCATATTTGCGATGCAGTGAATTGTTCACATTTAGACCACTACTGTACTACAACTTATAGTTTTAATATCAATCATTAACACCGCACTTTTTTTTAGCATGTCAAAAAATAGTACAACAAAGGTTATCTGCATCTACAAGTTGCCTAACCCCAACAAATTCAAGACCTTCGACTCCAAACAACTACTTCCATTCTACAAGTTCGGCTGCTGTTAGTAGACATCTACCATCTGGTACTGCAAGTAATGGATTTTCGCAACCACAACAAACGTCAGCTGTAACTCATTTATCATCACCTAGTCATCATCACTCTCTTTCTCATAAGGTACAGATTTTTGTAAGGTTATTGGTAATGAAAATTTACGTTGTTTTTTATTTAGGAATCTTTCACTTTGGGCAGTCGGCATGTGCATGCATTGTCAGCTTCTAGTCAACACCTTTATCGACAATCAGATAAACACGATCCTGTAATAAGGCATACAGATGAAAAATGGACTTCTTCGTCTACATTAGGGAGTCACGGATCATCTCAAGCGTTGGTAGTACAAACGGAAAATAATAACGTCGCTAAATTCAATGTACCACATAGTATTGATAACTTACCTGCACCACAGACCGTATCAAAAGAACAAAAAGATTTACCTACACCTACTTCTACTCCCACAACATCTAGAAAGACAAGAAGGCGTTCCAATCTATTTACACCATCTAAAAAAGGTGAAGATAAGTTGAAGAATGGTGGCGATATTGGTAGTGGGAGAGCAATTCCTATTAAACAAGGTTATTTGTACAAGAGGAGTAATAAACCTCTAAATAAAGAATGGAAGAAGAAATATGTAACGTTATGTGATGATGGACGACTCACTTATCACCCCAGCTTGCATGTATGTTATATGTTAACTACCTCTTTAGTTCTATTTAAAATTTTGCGTCGCAGGATTACATGGATGATGTGCATGGAAAGGAAATATCACTTCAGTATGTAACAGTTAAAGTTCCTGGGCAAAGACCGCGAGGATCAAAATCGATTATTACGGTAGCGGGTACCAATGGAAGTAATGTAATTAATGAGGGTATAGGAGGACTCTCGCTAAGTAATAGTGAGTACAGAGTTACTTTGGTTGTTTAAACTTTATCTATTTCTTCGAAAGGTACAAAAGACAAGAGATTAACTGAAAAAGTACTCCTTACCGCATTTGAAGCAGTGAAAGATCCTGGTAGATACGCTCAACTGGGCGTTGACGAAGGTGCACTACCGAACAGTAATTCATTTGTAAATGGCGATAATTTAAAAATGGAAACTCCTAACGTTAAAAAACGACACAGGCGAATGAAAAGCAGTAGCGTGAAAAATGCTGATTATGATGGTGAGATCTTTACTTATTTGTGTAACTTGTGTAAACATGGTTTGTTTCAGATTCAGATGTGTATGAGTTTTACATTGTTTCATTGGACAACAAACAGTGGCATTTTGAAGCTGTAAATTCTGACGATCGCGATGATTGGGTTTCTGCAATAGAACAGCAAATACTTAGCTCGTTACAATTAAACGAATCTAGTAAAGGGAAAAAGGCAAGCAATCCCATGGAAGCCGCTACGATTCAAACCATAAGATCTCATGTACCTGGAAATGAAAACTGTGTGGATTGTGATTGCCCGAGTATGTAATTTGTTACTCAACCAAATTTTGTGTAAATTTATTGTCTTTAGATCCCGGCTGGGCCAGTTTAAATCTAGGAGTTTTAATGTGTATCGAGTGTTCTGGAATACATAGGAATTTGGGCTCCCATATTTCGAAAGTACGATCTTTAGACTTAGATGAATGGCCGTAAGTATTCCCTTTTTATGGCTTTCGTATAACTTCATTGAAATGTATTTATAGACCTGGACATCTAAGTGTTATGTTAGCCATTGGAAATACCCTGGCAAATTCTGTCTGGGAGCACAAAACGCAAGGCAGATTAAAACCTTCCTCAAACTCGTCTCATGAAGAAAAAGAACAGTGGATACGATCGAAATATGAGTCGAAAGAATTTCTTCCGGCACCTAGCAATACTATGCCTTTAGGACAGCAACTAGTGGATGCTGTTTGTAGTACAAATATAAAGGGTATAGTACTAGTTCTGGCGCAAGGAAATGCAGAAGACGTCAATTCCACTGTTGCACCACGTGATCTCCGAACCCCTTTACATTTAGCTTGTGCCATGGGAAATCTAGCTGTTGCACAGTTACTCATTTGGGTACGTACAACGTTTATTAGTTATAAAGTAGCGCGATATCAGCTCAAATTACACCAAATCTTGCTCCTCTAGAACCACACTAACCACCAAACTGGTTTCTCTCTGTGCTAGCAGGTATAATTCAAGAAAGATTCGCGCAATGAGCATTTCCAGTGAGCATAGTCGTCTCACAAACATAACTATGTTACTGTAAAATCCCCCCTCTAGACTGCTCTTCAAATTTCACCATGTATTTATATAACTACCCTTTAGGTCACATAGGCCTTGGATATAAAATTTGTTATTTCACAATGCAAGAGTAGTATATTCTATAACAAGTAAGGAATAGGGTATATTCCGCGCGAGTGGAAAGTTGGTCACTCGAGTCAAAGGCGAGTGTGACGTTTCCGCGAGCGTTGAATACTTATTACTTACAAGTCAGACATAATTTTTTCTACTACTACCCCAAATTGTTGCAAAATATATTGTAAAATTCTAACCGGACTTCGCGGTAGACAATCGACATGTTAGTAGGTCTGTGTGCGGTGGGTTGGTGTGTCATATTTGAGTGACGTTTGTCTAAATGACCACGCCCGATCATACACTGCGCATGCGAAAGAAATGTCAAAGTTGCTTGATGAATTTAATGAAGGTTTTCGCGTTGCATTTGTATTTAGTAATTGAAAATGTACATCTACTTATTACTGGTAATTCGGTAAATGTGCGCTACAGGTACTTAAAATTCAAAAGTAATTTGTGCCCGCTCAAGCGCAATTAAAATGTTGACAGTTTGTCATTTAGAAGGTCCTATAATAGTCCAGTCAATTTATGGTTTGGGCTAGATGTTGTCATTTCACTCAACGAAACCAAGCGTATCCTATGTAAAAAAATCCGCTGAATCCGAAAATCATAGTCTCCCTGTCCGGAAACGGCGGGAACATTTTGTTATTAACAAAAAACGAAGAAAAAATGAGAACATGTCGTGTTTTTTCGCATTTGACTTCGAATATCTCGTTAACTATTACTCTGAGAGAAAGAATGAATAGAAATGAACTTGTTTAGAATAAAATTTTCTATAGGATACAGTTGGTCCGGAACGCTCATTTTCAATTGTTATTGTTTTTTATGGAAAAATGTGAAAAATTAATCTCTAAAATTAACAGTTTGTTATTACCAAGTAAAATACATCCGATCTTTTTGAAAGTCCGTATTTAGTGAATTCTTTTGATAACAAAACAATATGACAAACCCGATCACCGTAGGTTTCATAGTAATTGATTAATTAAATAAACAAGTATAAAAAGAGATGGCTTTGTCTTTCAAACTGGGGGACTACAAGAGCGTTCCCAATTTTTTTATACGTAGTTTAACCCTAAAACAATCTTTTCCAATAATTGTCCCGATAATTCTTGCAAATCAACGGACTGTGGCAGTAGGCAGCCAATCAAATGTCAAAATTCTTGTTTAAACTCAGATTTGACAAATAATCTAGGATTTTGATTATAATTCGCTTTCCTGCAACCGGCCGTAAGTGATTTAATAATGCTCTTTCAGTACTTTCTCTAATTGTAGAATCGAGAAAAAAGCACTTACGAGGACATTATAAGTTTAGAAGAGGCAGAGGTTGATATTATTTAATTTTAAATTGATTGTGTTGTCAATGAAAGATCATCTCATTCTTGAATTATTCCTTTGGCGTGTGACATATGATATGACACGCAACAATATGAACCTATAAACTACTTTGACTTCTTTTCTTCCAGCATAACGCTAACGTATCAGCGGTGGACCAAGATGGGCGAACATGTTTGGCATACGCGCGAGCGGCGGCCAGTGTAGCAGCTGCCAAATCTCATTCAGGAAGCACAGTTACCGCAGAGATTTCCGCAGCGACGAGCAGAGCGCTGGTAGAGCTACTTTTGTCTAACGGTTGCCCCGAACTATCTTCTGTGCCTAACAGTGGAACCCTACCTCGCAGAAGAGGTAGTCAACAGATGCCACAATTTGAAAAACTCCCATCAAGTGTAATTTAAATAAAAGTCTGATTAGGTAAAAGAATTAAAAGAGTATGTATTCCGTAAGGGACGAATTTGTTGAATTATTTAATTTTTTCAATTTAATTGGATGTTTTTTGAAATATTGGAAGCTACTGTACTTAGTACTTTTAGAAGTTATTGGCTCTGCAATTATATTCATGTGATTTCGTCGAAAGTGTTCAAATGTCAATTCTAAACAGTAATAATGTACTCACACTTTCACACTTGTGTACTACCTATGATATTTGCAACTCGAAGAGATTCCATTATCCATACTACACACTTTTGTATGTCGTTTTGTAATGTTTGTACCTTATGCGTGATAGTAATTTAAAAATATCAGCAATATGGTTTGTTATAGCTTGATGTTTTGTGATTGTGGATTTGTTACAAATAATATTAGTAAATATTCCTTTGTTATGTTGTATATACTTTCGCCAAAGAATGTATGTATTATTTTGTATATACAGAGCAAGATCATTTATGTACAGAAATTATATACGTTGTTCTTCCGTATTATGAAGTACATACCCTGTTACTCCATTAACATTTTCATGATTTGCTTAATGGGGATTACTATTATGTACACATGCCTTTTATTGAAATACACCTGCCTGTCCGCTCCTAAGTTAGTAGTCTAGTCAACGGGAATCTCATTAGCACACTTGGCATAAAGTAAAATCTACCTGCTCTGCTTGGGATTATTTGTAGTGTGTGTATTTTGATCTATCAGCCTTTGTCACTTTGAATGAAAATAGTAGGAAGTACTTTCCTTAGTCTGCTGTCGACATTAGTATCTCTAAAATGCCGCACCAAAGGAATTGTGGCCGTATTTAAGCGAATAGCAAGGGGGGGGGGGGGATAGAACGTATACTCAAAGAAGATTATCATATGTAATTTGTATACCTAAAGCCTAAGCATTCGTAATGGTGGAACATTTATCAATGTTACCAAACACATTGCGGTGTATTATTTTTTACTTTTGGATGAATTGAAAAATTTGGTTGTAGACAAAGAGTGTAGTATGGTCTTTGGTATAGATTAATCCTTAGTCACTTCAGTTAAAGTGTAAGAGGTAGGGAACCATTCGACGAACCCATTTCCCACAAACCTGGAAAATGTTTAAATGCTTTATTATCAGTCAGTTAAGAAAATATTGGTCTGGCAGGCATCTCGTGGTTATGTTTTCCTCCTTTAAATGTTTGGAATTTACAATGTATTTCTTATGGCAATAATTCCATGGCTGTGTCGATTGGGACTATGCGAGACAATAAATGAATGAAAATTGGTTTCAATCACAATCAGCCATGGAATTATTCCTATAAGAAATACATTACTTCAAACATATAAAGGATGACGCAACCGCGAGATGCCTGCCAGAACCGTATTTTCTTAATTGACTGATAATAAAGAATCATTGAAACATTTTCTAGGTTTGTGGGAAACAGGTTAGTTGAATTGTTCGCTAGCTCTCTCGCTAGTTATTTTGTGTACTAAAAAGAAAAACCAGTTCATTTGAACAAATTTTCCCAGCATTTCCCTATGTCTGACATCATAGCAAAGTCGGTAGCGAGGGCATTAAGTGGCCGGATTGCCAGATTTGGAATCCCAGAACGGATACCAACGGCCCACGTGTTTAGCAATTCGAATCTTGCATTTTTGTCAAAATCCGTAAGCTTTTGTGTATTAAACATTTCGAACGACGGCGTACCGCTCTTGAGCGAACGGGATAGCGGAACATCTTCATCAGACGATAAAAGCAGCAATATAATGCCTCGGACAGATCGCTAGGTTGAACTGCGGCCAATAATTCTTCTTGGCCTATGTACAACTCAACAGCAGATCATTCTGGTAATGTCCCCGCTACACTCGTTTACAGTACTGCATTGCGTCTGCCTGGTGAATTATTCCCCTTAAAATTAGGAAGAAGTCTAACCCTGTACTTTCGCATGGTTCTAGTCTAGAAGTACCTTGAGCTATAGATGGACTGATGGAGCCAAGAACCGAATGTGAAAAGTGTCTTTGGATTTATATGCGCGCTTTCCGAAGGCACTACTATTCCTTCTTACGGAGCATTTTGTGTGGAGGACAAAGGCAGGCTGAACTATCCCACTTGCACTCATTGATTTGTTGCCGTACTCTTATGCTGAGAGGCGCGCGTACATAATTGAAAACGCTGCAAATACCAATTTGGACACAGAAAATTTCATAGAAGAAAAATTGTAGTGCAATTAAATTTACTATAGTCCCCGACGGCATTGTGATGGAACCGAATTAGCCCGCTAAAATTCAATTTAAATATTCCCGAAACCGACCCTGGCGCGACGAAAAAAGTCAAGATTGCGCTTTGTTTCGTTTCCGTGGAACACGTGTTTTTTTCTTCTCTGCTCTACATTGAAATGGGCCATAATTTACAATAAAAGTGTAAAATACAACGCTATGCGAGGGAACTTAATGATCCCTATCGACTCGACGCGACGTCTCGGAGCACGGTCGATATTAACAATTTTCGTCTAGGATTTGTTTAAAAAGGAAAGATTGAGGGAGAGGTATTTGTGCTTTTGTTGAGGGCAGAAGTAATTTTCCCGTTGTGAATAGTGGGTGCAGCTTCGACTATTACAAAGCTGATGTTCTCGTTTTGTTATCTGTACGTCTAATGCCTCCATCTAATAATGATATGATCGTGTTCGATTATTTGCCAATTTAATGTTATTCTCGTACAGCATGATTATTTCCATTTATAACACATTCTAGATACAACTTGCACTTTTAATTATACTGGTCATACTTTGAATTAAATGCATAGATTCTACAAAAATATGTTGTTGTCCAATTTACAGTACTCCTTTGTTCCAAACGCTGGCAACATGAATTACTGGCCGATTTACGTGTTTTTATTTATATTTATATACAGTATGTTCCCTTAGGGGCGATATTCAATACCAGTATGCATAACTACATTTTAATTTATAATTGAATTTATTGCAGCACATTTCACTTTTGTTTGCATGAATATGTTACTGTTTATTTACAGGGTGCTTCATCTGGGGGCGAGTGACGTACGTTAGGCGGTTGATTGTTACATATTGCACTTGGCATTGAGAATTAACTACTTTACATTAATGTTTGCCACGACATGTTCCTTTGTTTTGTTGTAATGTGATAGTTCATAACGTTATGCTCCTACTATTTATTTGAACCGGGTGATTATGATTATTAATATTTGGCAGGGTGACTTGTTTCGAATGTGTATACTGTGCTATATTTGATATTGATATTTGATACCGAATATTTAATCTCGATTTGACGTAGCAGAGGCTGGCTAAAGTTCAGAACTGACATACGCAGAGATTATGTTTTATGTAGTGTCTTTGAAAAGAGCCATCTTGCCCATATTGCTAATCAATCCGATTAGTCGATCCCTGACATGTAGTGACCGAATATGAGTTTTGTGTCAGTCTTTGGTATGCCAGTGCAAATATGTCAACTGTCAACGCCTACATAAATTCTGTATATTTTGTTGCCCTAGAGATGTGTGAATGAAAGAGTTGGGATCCCGCTTAGTCGTACATGGGGCTGCCGGCTAAGCCCGGCCTCGCTCTTGCACAGGGATTCGCTAAAAGCGTGCGGCGTGTTCTCGTTGTGACCTTTTGCTTGTGTTATCAATTATCCTTCCTATATGAAAGGCTCTTCTGAGAGGGCAACTCCTATCGATTTCATACAATGTTGACATGTCATGACCAGAGCAACTAAAGACTACTCGGTGTGGGATCTGGACTGGCCATCCAATATCCAAACCTATGATATGAATTTATTGTAATGTTTTAATGATTGTTTTTTTGTTATGTGTGTGAAATATTGATTCATTAGGAATTCCAGCGGAGCCTGTGATTCCACATTATCCTAATTTACTTGATAACCATCATAATATGCATTCATGCCATTACAGACAACTGATTTTGCTATAAAGTTCAATATTAATTTGTTGGCTAGGTTTTTTCTTGGTCAGTTCTTTTTTTCCCAGCCTATTTTTGTATTTGCACTCGGTGAACAGCCATTTTCTAAATTTAATCTTGCAATGCGAATTATTTGGATTAAATCCCCGTTTTTAAAGCATGTACTTGTTTTATTTGTATTCCTTACTTGATCCTCACTCCGACAGGCAACACATATCTTGTAGCGACTCTTAAAAACACAACAACGTAGTAAGTGGTCCTATTATTTTGTTATTCAGGTTAGGTAGCTTTGTCTAGACTCTAGACGATCACGTGCCATGGGGTTCAGTTAGTTTGGGAGGGAAAGTTTTGAATTTTCAATCTTGAGTTGCGCAGTCTCTCGAGGCTGGTCTGGGTACATTACAATATCTATCCAAAGAGTACCCACTCTTTGATCTATCTTTAATCTACTGTACCAAGGCCATACCATTGGTACAACCAATGAATAAGATACGACGTATACCCGCGTATACTCTCTGGTCGTTTGGCACAGTTCGAATCGCGTATTTTGCTCGCCATCATTTTTTCTATCATCAGTTCTGCTTGCTTAAACTATGCGAACTGCGAAGTAGCAGAGGATTAAGCTAGGGACTAAGATTATGAAATTTATTATTAAAATTAAATTTAAGGTAGGTAACGACAATCGTTTGCAAATGGCACAATGTAACAAAATGAAGAAGCTTGTTGGATGCGAGATGCAAAAATAACCAAGCGCGCATTACAGTACCTATAGCTAATAGCATAGTGTAAGTACACTAAGCTAATAGGTTATAAGGAATATTTCTTTTAAATTTCTCCTCAAAGCAATCATACCTACGCCTTTTCTCGAAGTTTAAATGACATTTCTGCGTGAACTTGTTTTATCAATAATGTGAGCCCCACCTAACTAGCCAATGAAACATTTTAGCTTTGCCATTACCATTACGAGAAGTACCTACCCTCAACTAAAAAGACAACAGTTTAGTAGCGTTTTAATACGGTGTCCGTTTCCATAGTTCTCAATTTTACTTTCTGTTATATCAATCAAATATGAAACGTCAATAATTGTATTATTTGTTTTTGTGTGTGTGCGAATTTTTTTCCATTTTATTTTTTACTAACGCAATCTTTTTCGATATTTATACAACGGAAACGGAAACAAAGGTTCGGAATGGCGGAACAGAGTTTATTTGATATGCATCAATATTACCCGGAAACCGAAGAGCAAGCAAAAATACATAAGAGGCGTAAAGTTAAAAAGCAAAAAAAGGAAACGAGGGAACCCGTCCGCTTAGATTCCTTGAACATTGATGGAGTTGTGAAGATTGTAATGTCCAGTCATACACAGCTTGCAATTCAATGCGTAGTTGGGAGTGATGTTACCGCACAAAATGCATGGAAGTACGTTTCCAGGGATTTACTTCACGATTACATCGAACAGCAAGACGGTCTTAACACCAAGCAATTTGAAAATCTGAAATTGAAAATTAAAGCGTTTCCTAATCCAAACGTATTGGTAGCTTATATACCTAGTGATGAAGATTGTGATGAGTTTTGCATTACTCTTACGCTCGAAGCCGAGAAAGAAGTTTTAGCACACATCGATGCGATTTGTAAAGATCAAGAGGAAAAGTTAAATAATGCTATTAATAAATCAATTCAAAAGTGGAAAAGTCGCGGCAGTGAAATAGAAGTAGATTTTCAGGTTCCGAAAGATAATAGACCTTTGTTGGAAGTTGAAGTGGAGACTGCTTATCCAATAATATCTGCTAAATGTCGATTTAAATTGAGATTAGTTGAAGAAGCTCGGGATGGTTACGTAAGCGTGGTGGTCGGACGTACAGTTTCTGAAAATGTGGTAAAGAGAAGAATAGATGAGTGTATTCAAGCTATCCCTGCGGTTAGGTCCAGTGAAGCTCAAACTGTTTGCACGTATCCGAAAAACATTTGGACTCAGTACGATTTTAATGCGGGCGAAGTGAAAAATCTTACTAAAGCATTCGTTCGGAATATTTCACATTTCGTCGATGATAAACTAGACTTGTTTGAAGACATGGTTTATTTAAACAGTTCTGTAAATTTATACACAAGTGATTATAGTGACCTAGTGAAAAATGTTAAATGCGTTCAAAAACGAGCAAAAAAGACATTTGCGGAATACACGTCGTTCTTTCATTACGAGGTATGCAAAGGAAGAACAATTGTCGATCTTGATTGGCATCCTATGTGGACAGGCATCTTTGTTGCTGCATATTCAAGTCGTGCTCTTACTTCTTATTCTAAAGGTAAACCGTCCCTCGATGAAGTAGATGAAGCGACATTTCGCGTTGCGCCTGTTTTATTATGGTCTTTCAACGATAACCTCAGCCCAAAGTTGTACTTGGAAGTTACAAGAGAAGTCAGTGCTCTGTCATTTTGCCCATTTCATGAACACCTGTTGGTTGGGGGTTGCATCAACGGACAACTTATAATTTGGGATTTGACAGGAAAACTAGAACTGATAGAAAGTGAAGAAATCCTCACCACGAAGCAAGAAGGGTATAGAAAATTAATGCACTCGTTAATTCCATGGATGAAAAATATCAGTAATATGAAAATAGTTCGACCAGTAGTCACGTCAAATTTAGCTTACTCCCATTCCGCACCCGTAACGTCTATTAAATGGATATCCCCGTATCGCGAAATAACTAAATCTGGTCAATTAAAGCACATACCTGTGGAAGAGAAGAGGACAAGTTTACAGTTCATTTCATCTTCTCAAGATGGTACCGTACTTGCGTGGGATCTCAATTTGCATTCCGCCGAAAAATGTGCGCCACAAGTTAGTAAGAGGAAACACACACGGTTAAAAAATCGCCCTGCCGGTTTAGTAAAAAATGTTTCGCCTTATAGTGTACTCAACAGAATATTCAAACCTACCTTCAAAATAAATGTGTTTGCACCAGATTCGACAAGGAATCTACCTTTGGCTGCATTGCACCTTAGAGACCTACCTTGTCATTACGTTGAAAAGTATCCAGATCCACATCGTCAATTCGATGTAACGCAACGTTTATACTATGAACCAGTACTATCGGTGTCACAAGAACCCTTAGCAAACCAACTGCAATTCGGAAGTATGGAAGGTGATTTTCTTACAGTGTCCTGGGAAGGATTTTCGTTTAATACCGGCGAAGCAGTTAACAAGGAATTGGGACGTATAGAACACATTTCCAAATTTCACGATGGCCCAATAGTGTCATTATACAGATCACCTTTATATCCTGAGCTGATTTTGACCGTAGGTGGTAAGATATTTGCATTATGGATTTTAAAATTCCTCAAGGAGCCCGTCTTCTGGAGGACATCTACACATAGATACACCTACGGGTTGTGGAACACAGGTTTACCTTCGGCATTTCGTTTAACCAGGTGTGATGGTTGCGTAGAAATATGGTACTTAAAAGTTCGTAGTGATCGGTACCATCAGGAATTCCGTGTGTCCGGAGGCAACCTGGGCGGTACGTTTACGCATCCATTTGATTTGCAGCAAAGTGTCGATGCAATTTCTGATTATAATGGTTCCTTAAGGTTATTCATCACAACTCGTGTAATCAGCAGTGAAATGGAAGACGAGAGAAAGGCTTTAGTACAGCTATGCGAGCGCGAAGTTGATCGGAAGTTAAAAATTAAAAAATGGCAGGAAGATTGGGCGGTTCGGAATGCGGAGTTGATTAAATTTAAAAAGGAGCAAATTTCTTCATCTCAACAAAAGAAGGAAGACGTCCACCACAAACCAGGTCTCAAGGAGACGGAACAGAAACATCAACTAGAGGAGGTAAAAGTTAATGTTGATAAATGGAGAATAAAGGAAGAAAAGCGTATGCAAGCGGTTTTAATGGAAAAAAAAGCTTTAGATATTTCGCTTTTAGAAAAACAGAGAGAGCCTCTCCTAAAAATACTTCAGGACAAAAATGATAAAATTATTAAAATGAAAGACCGTCAACACAATGCCAATGACATATTTAATCAGACAGTCGCAAAAGTCTTTTCAGATGCAGTAGAGAAAACGGCAATTTCTAACATACAAGAAGATATAGTCACGGACGATGTAAGTAAAGACATATATCAGAACTATTTAGAGATAGAAAAGGTGAATACGGATATTGTAAATAAGAACAAATACACTAAACCATTTGATTGGTTCGCAATGTGCAATGCTGGTAAAGAACGGCGTAGAGCATTAGATGCACATTATGGTAGTTCCAATCATAAACTAAGGCGTTTGAGAGAACGAAGTGGTACATAAGCAGGTTATAGGCATCGTTTAATTTATACGTCATTTATACTGTGTTTATAAATATGTATTTCAGCAGCCCAAATAAATTATACAAACGTATAACTTTCTATTCCACAAATATTTATACGCATTCTTTATTCGTTTGAGATATTGTATGAATTGAATAAATTGTCAATACGTGAAAACAAAGAAAATCTCTCGACCAGATTCCCCCCGCGGCACCCCCACAGACGCGTTCAAAGTTCAAAACTCGAAAACTACAAAAGCTACAATTTTTGTCACCGCAAAGCAGTGGGTTTTTTAAGTGACCCTGAAACCTGTTTATTTAATCAATCAAATAATGTATTTTTGAAAGAAAAGTTTTGAAAAAATTTAAAAAAGTGTGGGAGGATGCCTATAGTGATATGCAACTGAGTAACTCAGAAAGACTTGACTCGATTGAGAAAACCATAGCCGTAGATCATTATTTTATTTAAAAAATAATAAAGAACTAGAACATACAAAAATGTTGTTCTATTTACCTATTGCACTATCTCGTGCACTATTGACCATTGAACAGACGCATCCTCTCCGCGCTGCCCCATATAAACGATGATTTTCGCACAATGACGCGACGTGGGACGGTCGGCCGCATTCCCACCACCGCCACGTTTCCTTCAAGACGCTAGTGAGTAGTGACGTGTCTCTTCCAAGTCGGTACCATAAATAAATGTATTTATGATCAGTACTTACTTGAGCCATAACGCGTGACGACGTTGAGTTCAATGTACATACAGTACAGAGTTGATCGAAAAACAACACTCGCGGGGCATTCTGTAGAAGCTTTGAAATCTGTCGGGATACATATTCAACTCCCGACGAAGGTTTCTACTCTTTAACCACAAAGGCTGAACCCATCTTTTTTTCTTTTTGGAAATTGTTGCGATTTGCGATAATGACAATGTCCAACAACTCTTCGTCACTAGAACAGTTCATTATGTACTCACTCAATGATGGCCGCAGTCTAACTACAAACTAGGGTCCACGCATTTCATGCCACAATCTCGCGTTTTCAGTGTGGTTTGTTTGCGTCACATCTCCGCCATGGGTCTGTTCAGTGTGAACTGGGCCATAGCAACCTTGAACTGGTCCAGAACCGACCTTATATGACTACTCAATCACCCAATGCACAAAATGAACAAACTGTGTAATTCATAATTCTAGGAGTCATCTTTAAAATCGTCTTCAGAATCGCTTCTTGTTAGGATTTCTAATCACCTCTTAGTGGTGGTGGAATATTTGCGCTTTTGACATACTCATAAAACCAACAATTTCCATTTGTCTCCTCTAATGTAGGCCTTGATTGATAAATTATTATCGATAAAACTCGGTCAGAATCGTTCTTAGATGTTGCCATGCAAATTAACAGCAACTGCAGCCAATCGTAGAACCAAACCACACCACAAACGTGTAAAGACGCCAGATGCACACCTCATGCTTTGTTTTTTTGTCGTCTATAGACGACAGACGCAGCGAAAGGTCTTGCGAATAAAAGGAAAAGCAATTTAGATTTTGTTAGTTTTTCCTACATTCAATCATTGTGAAATAATATTTTTTTGCTGGCGCTTTGTTGAAATCTAAGTACAATAAGTCAGCTTCGAACTAGAAAGAGAATTTAGTTGCTAAACCGCAATGGAGAATCCAACTCAGAGAGGTTGTCTTTTGTTTAAAGGTCCACTCAAACCAACACGGGAAAGTGGGAACGGGACAAACGTGGGATATGTAAGTATGCATCACGACGATATGGTTTGCATGTGTTAAGGCGGTACGAATATATCCCACATTGGTTTGAGCAGATCAGGCGCATGTTAGCATTGTATGTACCGAGTGGTGCACGGTAAGTAGGATCATAGGGATTTAACATGGGAAATTAGTTTTGTACAATATCCTGCCCTGCACACAATTTACAAAACTGTTTTTACATGTTTTATTAAGCTTTTGGTATAAGTACCCGCAAATTTAAAAAACAGTTTTGTATGCACCTTTTAATTCTGAACAACTTTAAACTCTACAGTTTTTTCTGTAAAATGTACAGGAGGGCAGGACATTGCATAAGACTAATTTCCCATGTTAAATCCCTATGTTCCTACTTACTGTGCACCACCCGGTATACAATAATGTTAAGTCATTAATCTTAAGATTGTATAAAACAACTTATTAAATCGAAACATGATTTTTTGATAGCAACTAGCTTTACTGTACGTATATGGAGATACATTTATGTCTGTATAACAATTAAGCGGAATTCGGTATTGTAATGAAATTTATTATCTACATATGAACTATAACAGTGAATCAATATCAATTAAGACCACCGAGACAAATTTGTACGTTTTGCAAAATCTTTGTAATTAGCATGGGCATAATATTCGACATAACCTGGTTCAATTAATGTATCTTTCGGTAAATTACGATAAACGGGTTTGCCATACAAAGTGCCTACTTCCCATCCCGGTACATTTTTCATTAGTTCCTCTTCAGCATCTCTATTTACTCTTAACTGTTTCATGTACACGCGATCCCGTTCCGCTAACAGCATCGGGTATAGAGCAAATTCGGCAGAACGTCTTTCTATTTCTTCCCGATGTACAGATAAGCAATTTAAATAATATAAGTAGCACGAACCTGCCGTTATGCCGAAGTAGCCTGCTATTAATGCAGGTCCTAAAAAGTAAATAACTCTTATGTAATCCACTTAAGGTGGGCCAAGTGCTTACCGCTAAAGTACGTTCTCGCCGGTATTCTTTTATACGGAATAGGCTTATAACCTCCAGTAGGAGGCATATCTTGCCGGGGGATCGCAGCAGCCATAATAATTTATTTCTTCTATTTCATACAAATTTTGCACACACTATATTGACAATTGACATTTCTCCTATAAACGATAAACATATGAGCGACAGTGAGATAAGGTACATAAACGTTGCAACTGTAAATTCCCCCAACACCCCATTAATAATATACAGAGTTAGGCAATAATTCCCCGAGATTTAAAAGAAACCTGAAACCATCTAAATGAATGAATCGAGGCGCTTTCTTTCGGTGATTTGCATTTGGATTGAGGATTGTCAAATCACCTTCTTTGGAAGTGTGATCTTATGATCATGATTGCGAAAATCGAGAACAAACTGAACATAAAAGTTTTATGATCACAAATTCCTAACTTATAAATGCAAGGATATTCTGATCAAATGTTAGGTTAGTCAATATTTGTAACTAAGAAGGAAGCACAATCGTGCAAGTACTTCCACTTGTATTTAAATTATTTTCATAATGCAAACAAAAAATTCGAATGCAAATGTATACTATGTAAACTTAACCATACTTTGATTTAAATTCGCGCGTTCTTTCGTAAAACGTGATCCGACGAATTACGATTTTGAAATCATGATTGCGAAGTAGCCGAAAGAAAGCGCCTTAGAAGTAATAGGTACCTATGAATTTATACTTATAATAACAAAGTGTAATTAGTAGTTTTGCTTACAGTTCACGTTATAATTATCGCGTAGATAACAATAAATTTGGGACATAGGTATGTGTACGAGAAAATCTTATGCGCAATTGGGAAGTTGCTTGAAATTAATTTGTTGTTCTCTTTATAGTTATCTGTTATGTTTAGAGATGATTGTGATGATTTGATATGTTTTGGATTTGTTAAATAAAATCACCACACTGTTACTGCAATCTGCATATTAAATTATTACCACTGAATAAGTGATTATATAACGATAATTTGTTTCACACGTGCGCATTTCATGCTTTTTATTTATTTATTGTCCCTCTTGTTCTAGGCTCTCAACAGGGCTTACGCCCAATTACAGAGTGACTCGCATAATGCTTTTTAGAGGTGTCCCTGCAGACGATCTTAAGTTGTTCTATACTACTCCGGTATTTACCTACGAATTAATAGGAAAACTGCGGGAAACCTAATTCGGAGTAGCCGCACTCGAGCCGGCAGGAGGCTCGAAACTGATCTAAGATCTAAGGAAGTTCCCATCTCTGTCAAAGAATAAAAATTTCTACCTCAGCTCAGGTTCGAACATCCGATATTCGGTTTTGTAGCTTTTCAAGTATAGTGGCGCTGACATTGGGACGCAAGACATTAGGACGCAGACAGTACGAAGCAGACAGTACGAAGCAGACATTGGACGCGGCCATTAGGACGCAGACATTGGGACGTAAATATTGGGATGCGGCATGTACCTAAACGTATGAAACCAATCCTAATTTATGATCCCTATTATTCAAGAAAATTGGCCCTGGCCCCCATGCAAATAACTAAAAGTTTAAAACCCGCCGCACCTGCAATACTCAATATGAATAATTGAGGGAAGTAAATTTTTTTAAACAGCTTTCCCGGAATTATTTTTCTTTTCAGTTTTATAAATGGTCCGCCAATTCCTAAATGTACTCAGTGCATTTTTTTCGTTTTGAAACGAGCTTTAATTATTTACCTATACGACGAGATAAAATTTTCGATATGGGTACGATCCCGATCGCAGTATAGCAAACCTATGCACGAACCAACGAACCGAACTCCTTTGATGTGTGCACTTTTACCGACCGCCAATGGATCGTACGAACCAGAACCACGCACCGCGAGCGCACCACGAGCCAATAGCGAACCGCTTAGACGATTCGTAGTTCGTCAAGCCAGGTTCGCCGAACCACGCGCCGTGTAACTGCGCCTTAGGCCCCCTTTCACCTCCAGCCGAGTGCACCCCATTTACTCCTTAGTTCGAACAAAAAATCACAATGACAACAATGACGCAGGGCCCAGGGACTCCTGATTTGAAGTGTATACTGGCCGCAATAAATATATGAACATCTAGTGTACTTTGATCATTTTTGACGAAAGTTTCAGGACAATGGGGGTTTACAGTGTAGTTGAATTCCGCAGTTCTAATTTAATAAGCGTGTACCTGAAACCATAAAACATTTTTTTGGACAGTAAAAGTTTATTTAAAAATAGAGGCTGATTAGCAAAAAAGTAATGAACATGTGCGGTTTTAAAGGTTTATTCAAAACGATATGATTGTGGCGGGCTCTGTGACGTAATAAGCCCGACCAATCAGCTCCTAGAACCATTCAGATGACATAACGACTTGGCAATATTGCAGGAGAATGGCATTTATAACTTGCGTCATCTGTCACAGGCACTTGTCACTTTCGTGCTAGATGCAGTTAAACATCCCTCTCAAAACGTCAAATGTGACAAACGTCAGACCCTCGGGTAAGGTTGCCAGCTCACTTCTACGTGATTGGTTGTAGGTTTGTGACGTATTTAGTCTGAAGCGTTTCAAATTCGGACTAAAAACACAGCTTTTCAATAATTTATTTTGGGTTTATTTTACTCGCAAATAAAAATTGAGGACACACGGGTCTATTTATTTTTAATGTACTTTGTGGATCAGAAATAAAAAATGAAGGCGGGATGAGCCCATTGTCTTTATTTCGGCATAAGAAACGATGAAAATTTCAACATGTTACAATTACAACTAATTCAGACGACACTAATAATGACTTGGCATACATTATTAACGATCCTCGAGATCGTTTATAATTTTGTATTGCTGTCTGATGCCTGTCCGTGTGCACGATAACTTTGTGTAGCAACGTCCGATCGCTTTGAAAATTGATACCTACACATATTCTGAAGGATATAAAAATTTAAAAAAGGTCGCTATTGTTTTTCGGATTTTTGAAGTGTTTTCCAAACTTTGAAGGCTCCTGGCAAAGTGTTAGCCTCCTCAGCCAGGTGTGCAATTCTGTGTTTGGGTATTATTGGAGAAGTATTGGACAAGTTTTCAGCGTGTCTCAAATACCTATCCATAAATGTCCCCCAGCTCTCGGACTACTAACTTTCAAGGGCGATAGCGAGCAACAATAGAGATATTTTTAGCGCATTTTTGGAAAAAAATACGCTATTATATGCGTTATGGCTGGTTGGCTGTCCGACCGAGATCTCAGCAATTACAATAGCTAGAGATTACTTGTGAGATCGATAATTTAAGAAAATAATTTCGATATGGTTTTCGGGGGTGCTATAATTTTACCGTTAGATAGCGCTACCAGTATAACAACTTAATTATTAGTGCATTTTTGGAAAAAATACGCTATTATATTTGTTATGGCTGGCTGTCCGGCTGAGATCTCAGCAATTACAATATCTAGACACTTTAAATTTCTACTAGCTTTCTGTTATAGTGTAGATGTGCAGGCTCTAGTCTATTTTGAGTTAGATTGCTCGTGAGATCGATAATTTTAAACTTTGCTAATGAAATACTGATCTGCAATATCAAAAATGCGCTTTCATCATGCATACATGCTGATTTACAACTTGTTTTCTTTTTCATTTGATATCGACCTCAATCTATACGTTCACGCGAAAGACCAATCGCAAAGGCGCACCTTAACATTTTCGCTCCTCACTTGGTTATTTGTGATCCGATCGGGGTTCTTTTTTTGTTGACCTGTGGGGGAAGGATAGCGCTTTCAGGGAAGGTCGAGATCGAGTGCTATTTAACCCCTCCCCCACGTTTGGTGTCATTCGAAAGCAGGATTTAAAACAAAAGTTGCTCAGTGAAGGAATTTTACGTCCCTCAAAGGTGAGTCAACTTTTTAGGCAGGTATTCGAAAGGAACGGGGCGATCGAAATTTTAGTACTTACCTTTCGAAATTTTCGTGTATTTTTGCCATTTCTACCATACGGCGATCTAACCCAAAATGCGCTTTTTATTTCGCTAGGGTTTGCCTACCAATAGCGCTCCTACGATCGAGAAATTTTCGTCATGGAAAATAAATTTTCTCTTTGTCGCACTACTCGATGGCTACAGTGAGGAATGTAACACCAGCCTCTTCCGAGCAAATTCGGGTCGCAGAACTCGTAGTTTTTAGGATTTGAAAAATCCGATACAATACCAAAAACAATCCTCGAGATCTGTTTTTGGGTTGTATCTTTTTGTCCCGGGGCAGTTAGTAAAAACTATTTTTTTCCACGTCAATTAGAGGAAGTTCTGATGAAGTGTGTAACAAGACTTAACAGTAAATGAACAATTTTCAATTACGAATATACCTAACACCCTTTCATTTACAAATGTCCCAATAAACCCGTGCAGGTCAGTATGTCTAGGTACTTGTTTGTGATGATTTTTGCGTAAATATTTTTTTGGTGTACAGGGTGTCCCATTAATAATGGTCACAGACCATATCTGCGGAACCGTTAATTGCACCGCTTCGGGAAAAAATTTTGTTAACAAAAGGGACCAAGCGAAATCGCTGGAAATAATTTTCAAGTTTCTAGCTTCGCCGCTAAAGGGCGTACGATTCATGTTTAAGTAGAAAAATTACTTTTTTTCTAAAATATACCCAACAAACATGCATAAAAAATACATGCAATCTCGTATCAATTTTGCATCATTTTGATGCAGCAGATTTGCTCTAGCTCATAAAATATGAGAGGTGGAGGAAGGGGAACATCACTTTAAGGAATTGAATGTAACTTAGATTAGGTTAACATATTTTCATATAATAGGTCTTGTTGGAATGAGCTCTCTTCGTGGAATCAGATTTTACATGAATAGAGTCTTTTTAGTAAATGTTATGAGGGGTGCGCGTCTGCGCGATGTGACATTAACATAAACTTTGCAGTTTTTTTTTGAAAATTTCAAGCGGAACGATATAATTATTATATGATATTATCAAATAACATGAAAAAGTGAGAACCGCATTTTGATATGTTTTCTAAGCAGAGACATGGCGAAAATACGAATATTTACAAATTTTAATTGCAACACTTTACATTTATATTCATCCAAGTTGGATGTGAAACAAAAGAAACACAATCGTATGGATGCAAAGATATGGCCTGTGACCATTATTAATGGAACACCCTGTACTTA